AAACAACATCTGGTCTAGAAAAACATTCATTGATCCTCTAGCCTATTCCCTGTTATCACCAACTTGCAGTGAGGGAGCTGGAATCTGGATGAGTTGTTCTGGCAGTTTGTGTCCTGTAGCCTTCTTTCCCTCGTGCCCCGGTACACATCCCTGTTGCCCCAACAACATGACCAAAGCTACATGCCTTGCACACATGCGCTGCCCACAGCCCCCGATAAATGTCCTGCACATGTGAGAATGTGCGTGTCTGCAATGTGCTACAGGGACCACCTGCCTTTATGCTTTTTTGTTGCATGTTTTCCAACTTCCTTAGGTGACTGCAACTGTATTCTTTTTTGTTGGGTGCACATGCTCATCAGCACATCCAACAACCGTATGTCTCAATGTTTTAGATCAAGGAACTCACTGGTATACATGCCAAAGCTCTTTTCCAGTGCATCCAAAAAAAAACAGGGATGGGATGGGATGGTGTGTACCTCAGTTTATCTGCATCATGGAGCTAGGCCATTGTCTGAGTTGTCTCTCCAGAGCAAAGGGCTAGGAAAGCACACCTACATTCTACAGTGTGACGTAGCTCATGTGGCTCCCTGTAGTCAAAAGTTTGGTCACTATTTTATCAGTGCTTGAAAGCTCATTATGTACCATCTCTCAGAGTCTTGTCAGTTAAGTGAAACCCCAAAGGAACCGTAGCACTAGAAGACACGTGACCATAGGTAGAGTTATCATGACCACTGTTGTTGTTTCAATGACCAGCGCAGGGGGTCTGGCACATCTGTTCTTCTCACGGTCATTTTGTTGGGTCCCAAGTTTCTTGTTTCTCTAAAGAAACCATCCATTGCAATTAGTTTTCTTCTCAAGCGTGCCACCCTTTGTCCACTTCAGCATTCAACCAAGATAAGTAGGTTTGTGTGTTCGTTAGAAATATCACTGAAATGATCAGCACAGGAGCACAGCTTAAAAAATGGCATTTACATTGTCACCATTATGATTTAGAGTCCATGCCTGCTACAGATGAAGAGAACTCCTGCTCCTATTAGACTTCTATCTGCACTTCCCCTGCACTACCATCCACAGATGGTTTTGCATCCTTCTAACATTTTGACAGTTACCACTGGCAACCCAAGAGTTAAAAACTTTTTAAATTAAGTCTTGGATTTCACTGCACAGTTCTGTGGCAGAGTCAATCCAGTGACAAATCTGCAGCCCCTGCAAAGGAGTAAAAGGAAGCTGGAGTTCTTCAAACTTAGGAGTTAGAAGAAAATATGGTTTGAATAACTTCTAACAAAACAATCTGGGTTTTAAGCAACATGAACTAAATAGAGAGCCTTAAAATCAGTGAGCAGAAAGCTTTAGTAACTTTCACAACCACTGTTTTCCTCCTTGCATGAAAATGACTCATTAAAAGGACACACCAAATTGCTTTCCATGTTTGAAAGCGAACACCAACACAATTGGAGAATTTGCTAAACTGTTACATTTGAATGTGATACATAACAAGAGGGTTAGGAAGCTGCTGCATTGACATGTGGGAGATGTTAAGAGAAAAACACAAATGTTGATGTAAGAATAGGGAGGAAATTTCAATTTGCAATTATGCTTTAAATTTTTTTTAACAGACGTTGCAGTTTGTAAAACAGAAAGAAGCCTAGTTTGGTAGTTCGTGCTCCCAATTTTCAATATAATTTTAATGTACGTGTACAAAATGTTTGGTTTCATGCTTTAGGTTTGTTTAGGTTTTGTTGTGGTATTTTTGTTCTCTGTCCTACACAGAGCACTCATGACATTTATCTGTCTCAGCTAGAAGCAGAATCACATTTTTAGGCCACATACAGACACAGAGCGAGGCTTCATGTTTACACTTAGTGATTATAGACTGCTAAATATAGGGATTTCATGGCAAAGAAGTCCTTTAAGTGAAGTGTCATATTAATCACTGAAAATAACTTCTACCCATCCTTCAGCAGGCAAACCCCTAATAGGGACAAGAGTCAGAAAACTGGGCTGTAAAAAGAAGAAAAAATAAAATCTGCCTTTCTTTCACAAAACCACAAAGTCCCAAAATTAGAATGGTCTTTTTCTGAGGGACTGAAAAGGGAAGTCGCACCATGTTTGGATCTGGGGCATGGGCAGGAGCAGAAAAAGCACATCCAAGGATGCCATTGCTTGATAATCAAATGCTATCAGGGAATGTACGTCAAGCTGCATGCATGGTGCTTCTCCATCCTTAAAAAAAATGCCATCTAAATCATCTAGCAGTGGATCAAGCTGAGGTATCACTTTCTCAAGCCAAAAACATGTTTCCCCTTCAAGTATGCAGAAATAATATAAAACACAGCCCTATTCCTTTGAAAGAGCTACAAAGTATTCATATTCTCCACAAATTAACAGGATGAGCATCCCCTAGAGCCTTGCCCCACGAACTGTGGAAAGAGGCTTCTCCAGCCTTCTCTCTGCTACTTACCCTTTGGTAACTTTTGTTTCAGGTTTTTGGGCAGTGTAAGGGAAGTGAGCTCCCAAGGACCTAAAGACGAGATGCAACCAATGGGAGGTCCTAGAAGGGTCTCACCTCTTGAAAGCATTGAAAGAGTGTACTTATGGACATGATTTCACGCTGAGTTAGAAAGGTGTAAACCTTGTGAAACTCAGGGCAGTTTTTCCTTATTAATTTGTCTAGCTGAAAGCAGCAGCTGAATCTATGTTTTAGCAGAAAAGGCTGTTTACTCTGATAATTAAGGAGGGTCAAACAGTTAATCTATCAATAAGAGCTGTGCCACTCAATTCAGTAGAAGATCTCATTTTCATAAGGAGTTCAGGTGGAATACTCTGCATGCTATTCTATTCCAGAAAAGAATCTAGTAATACTGCATTAAAAAATATGTGTTGTTTGAAGCAAATACTTCATTAATTTGACCTATCTGTGATAACATTTTTAAGGGCACAACAATACCAGTGAATTTTACTACTTGCCAAGAGAGGCATATTACTATCAGGATGCATCCTGAATGTGTTCAGCCAGTTCAAAGGAAACAATGGAGCTTATAGACATGGTAGGCTACCGTTCAAGTTGGCAAGGTTCCCATTACAAATATTCCTTGTTTTGAATATCTCTTGCCATCCAAGTTCTACATGATGCATATAATTTAAGCATTCTCCTTAGTGAATCACAAATGGAGAGCAATGTCTACAAGACAATTTCAGGGGAGGTGTGGGTAGGATCCTATGTTAGTCTGAGTGAGCATCTTCAGAGCAGGCAGTCAGAGTAGAGGCCCTATCCAGAGGTTCTTGGTGAGAATATGACAAAAGAAAGCTTTGGATCTAGCCCAGAGAGGACACAACATCTCTCCAGAGGTGCTCAGCTGCCAGCAGAACAAAACCTCAGCTAAGTGTATATAAAACTAGAGGCCTATACATGGTTTTTTGACATTTAAGGATAATACAGCAGAGCTTGACAAGCCAAGCTTTCTTTGGTTAAAGAGCATGACATGGTACCCTAAATTACCAAAAATAAAATGTTTATTGTTATATATTGCTACTATATGTTTTCTACAGTTTGTATATGAGAAAGTATGATTAAAAGTCAATGAGAGACTGTTTATAAATTTTGATTGCTTCATAATTTTAACTCTGAGCAACATTTTTATCATAATTATAGGCTTTCTTAAAGCATTTATGCAGATTGTTTTATTCAAAAGGGGTTTATTCCATATAAACTCCGCTCTTTTATCTCTCCATGAAATCAGTGTGTGAATTCCCAGCAACCACAACTCCATAGACAGTCATCACATTAGTAGCAGAGATATTTTCAAACAAGGCAATATTCCTCAGATATCCTGAACATTATTTCCTGCTCTCCCAACCAGTTAGGGTCATGATGGTAAACAGTAATGATAATCCTTAGCACATTTGTTACCCCTTTATCTCTCATTAAAAATTTTTGTGAGTTTGTACTCAATTTGTCTGTGATGTTCCTGTGTGCTATGGTAGTGAGCATATTTATGGTTCAGTGAAGGCTCCGGGAGATTAAACCTGGTATCTCACACCTCCAGCTCAAGGAAGTTTAAGTCCAGGGATTTAAATGCAGAGCTTATGTCCATTTCAGTGAGAATTTTGTGTATAAATATTCTGGATCCCTACAAATGTGAAAATATAAAGGACTTACCAAGGACTTGAGGCTGTTTCTTAATTGTTGTTAACAGCCAGCTGATTGCACTGTTTCAATGCATGCAAACAACTTTTGGGATGTGCAGCAGGGAATGAGTCCATGGCTTCCACTTCAGATTGGCCCATGTCCATATTGCCTATGAGGAGAAAACCATCCTCTCTCCTTCCTCCAGGTTTTCTCACAAAGGATATGAGTTGTCCATCACAGCCAGAAGCCCAGGATTTCTACAGTGACAGCAATTAGGACATCAGGACCCTTTGCTGAAGCTTAAGGCAAAAATCTGACAGTACAGCTGGACCTAATGTAGCAGAAAAGCAATGCAAACCGTGGGTGAACCAATGGCAGTCCTGGTAAAATCACAGAAGTGAATCATCTTCACTGGAAGAGGAGCTGAAAGGTTCAAATAGTTTCATAGCAGTCACTGTCTCAGCAAGCTATGTCTCATTATGATCTTCTCATTTCAATGACTTGAGAAGGCACTTCTCCAGCACTGGAACATCTATAAAGTAAGCAGAACAAAATATATACCCTCTACTTGCATATGCTGCTGGGGCATCAAATGGAAAAGGTACTATCACCTCCCACAGGAAATACAAATATATTGTGTTAAATGTATATAAAATATGTGCAAACATTTTTGTCATCGCAGTAAAAATTTGATCTTTTAGTAGATGTGCTTGGATACTCAGAAAAAAGCTGTTTTCTTAAAGCCATAACATGTTCTGGTGGGCTCGTGACAGTGATGACAGAGTCTCTAAATGTTTCATTCTACATTGAGGAGAGTTAGTTTCTCTCATTCTCTTTAATAAGTGATGCTATGCCATGCTCCATTTTACAGCACTACCTTCAACTTCTATGATTTCCTTAAAGGGCTGGATCACATTGCAGTGGGATAACCTGAGCTGTACCCCATACTTTCTATTCACAAGCCATTTGAAAAACTGTTTTGCACTTCAGTCTTGGAATGTATATTCTGCACTTGAATGGTGTGGTTCAGACTTCAGACTCTGAAAGGGGAAACAAGTCTAAGACCTTAAAAAAAAAAAAAAAAGTCAAAAATAAAACTACAAAACACTAAGGAAGCAATTCCGTTGCTAGCTACTGCTCTAAAATGAAATGAGAGAATCAACACAAACATTGTAAATACTGAGTTCTATTCAGCAATGCAATTATATTTTCCCTGTCGATTTTTATAGGTTGCAACCTTTATGTTACAGGACTTGTAACTTTCCTCTTATTTCACTCCAGTATGGATTCGGCATAATTCCACCACAGTAATTTTGTCAAGGAAGACAAAACTTTGGCAAACTTTGGTTTTTCTATATACAGCACAATCCTTAAACACTAAAATCATAATCATCTTTGTTTACATTTCCCGCGTTATTTTAGTCATTTCCCACTAGTATCATTTGAATTTTTGCTATGATATTTCTACCTCGAAAACATGCTAATATTAACATTTGAAGTGTGGGAATAAATACAAGTTGAGTGCTTGGATTTCTTATGACACTGCCGTTGGAGAGGGTGCAGATCTGTATTTCAGAGGAATTGTAGGACAGGCAGGTTGTCACTGGACTTAATTTTAAGACTTGATCAAACTGCTATGTTTGAGGAAAAATATTTAGCTATGTCAATTATATTCTGAATTCTGAGGCTTGGAACTGTTTCATGGCAGAATGCTGAAAAGGGGACAGCTGCATCTTTGATGGAGAACAACAGTTGTACAAGTATATTGTTAAAAAAGCAAATACATTAGAGGTAACAAAATGTCCATTTTTAGGTTGCAAAAGGAGATTTTTAGTATCAATCAAAGATAGTGATAAATATTTTTTGCAGATTCGTTGGTTGGTCGCTTGTTTGAAAATAAGGGTCACGTTCCACCATAGCCTTTCTCTGCAGGTAAATGGGCTGGATACAGGAATTTTTCTGTGTGATGGAATTGAATAAAGACAGATCACGACTCCTCTCTAGAGCCAGGGACCGGCCACAGAGCCAGCCTCACTGTCCATCACAGTTGCAGCTACAATTGGCTTAAAACAACTTGGAGGCAATTATTCCAAAGTAAAACCTGATTTCTTCTTCGACGGTATTACCCAATGCTAGACTGTAGTTGGCGTTGTCAAGGCATGGAAAAGACCTTACCTCGGGGCTAGTGGTTGGGACTCGAAGAGTCCTCGGTACCCTCAGCCTGGAGCACTCTAGGCGAAGCGCTGGTCTTTTTTTTTTTAAGATTTTTTTTTAAATCCAGGGTTTCTGAAGCGACAATTTTCAGGTCGGACCCGAAAGGAGAGTGTCTGCAGTACTGGCCCAAGAGCCCTGGTAAGGGATGGGGGAGGCTCCGAGCCCCTTTCCGAGACCTCGGGAGTGAGATTTGCAACGCCAGATTTGTGGCCAAGGGTCGCTGCCCGTTGGCCACAGAGCGGGGTGACCTCCCGTCGGGAGCGGGGCTGTGGGCATCCACACCTCCCCTTGTGTTTTCTGAATACCTGGGGCAGAATTAGCCCGTCTCAGGCATTCACTGTAGTTCTGCAAAAGTAAGTACTGAAGCCCCCGCAAAACAACAAACAAAAACCTGCAAAGAGGAAAGCGCTGTAAACGAGCAGCAGAGCTTTGGGGATTTTGAGATGAGCGTAGAGAGAGTTCGGATCAAATGGAATTTAAAGTAGACAGGAGTAACTGCATATGATCAATAATCATCCCGTGTGCATTCCTCTACTCATTTAACATCAACTAGGACTGTGCAAATATTGTAACTGATTACTCGACAAGGAAATCAGCTGAGCGTGTGTTTAAACTGTGGTTAATTATTAATATGAACAATTCTTTTAGATAAAATGTTTCATTTAATCGCCTCATGTCGAGTTGTCTAGGAAGCTACATGTCTAGCTCCCGAAACGATAATATGGGTGCAGACTTGTTCTAGGGAATTTTATATAACCCATATAATATAATTCCTGAATAATTTTCTCTTCTTGCTTCGTTTTAACCAGCTGAGGAAACGAACAATTTTTGGTGTAAATATTTATGACGTTTTTTAAATGTTCAAAGGAAATTTGTCCGGGAGGTACCTCGAAGTACAGGGGAAAACCACATCTCAGTGAAGATACGAGTCTTGGAAATGTGAGTTCGAAAGAAAAAGCAGCTTGTGTTTCAAATAGTAACTTCCGAAGAAATTACCACTGAGTAATATTTCTTCCTGCTGCCTCTCATAATCTCTCTTCCCATGTTCTAGACGGGTGCCTGGCTTCCTTTTCAGCAGGTCTGGCCACCTCCTTGCACGGTCCCTCGTTCACCTTACGGAGTCTGGTTGTGCAGCTGCCTGCTCGCTGTGTCTGTGGTCTTTCCTTCCCCTGCCGCCTTCTCCTAAATCAAATCCCTCCGGTCCCGCTTTTAAAAACAGTCCCTGAAACTCAGAACCTGCCAAACCCTTCTTTTCCTTCCCTCCTTCCTTCACTCCTTCCCTCCTTCCTTTCCTCCTTCCTTCCTTCCTTGCTTCCTTTATTCCTTCTCCTCGGACTTGGAAGAGCGATGGTGAGTTGAATGCACCTTGGTTTCTCAGTACACATGGTAATTACCCCCTTTCAACAAACCATCATATTTGTCCTTAATTTCGACTTTCCCAAGCACTGTTCTCATATTCCACTGTTTGAAATGTAAGAAGATTTAGCATAATTTGGAGGTCAGATTTCTAAATAAGCCTACTTTAAATAACAAGCCCACACAGGAGATTGTCAGTATCTCTATTTTGTATACAGTTTACACACTGGCACCGCTTTTTAAAACCCTATATGTGGGTTAAAACTCAATTTTACAACCCCCATTTATATGAGATGTAGGTTTGACATCTGTTTGCCAGAGTGTTTTGCACTTAGCCTAACACCCACTATTAAATGACAAAATTGTGGCAGGCTGTCAAAGCCAGCTGACTGACAGCTGCTCTACTTTACAAAAAAGCCCCATTCAAATATTTGCAGGGTTGAAGCTTTCTGTAACGCTGTCGCCATTCTCCCCGTTATTTAGCATGTAAAATATAAGTCAAAGTTTTAAAGCTGCTTTCCAAAATGTTGCCATTTTTCCATATAAAAAGAGCGAGCAATGGTTGCTGGCGGGGATCCAGCGCCGAACGCATTGGGTGGGTATTTCACTGGGTCCCCGCGTTCCTCCTATCTGCACAAACCCGATAAAACTGTCATTTAGCAGCGTTTCTTAATATTGCAGCTAATTAGAGCCGGTGTGTTATTGAAGTGAGAGCAAAAATCCACTTAAAAGAGAGGAGAGGGAGGGGGGAAAAAAGAAGGGAGGGGAATTTTCCGTACAGGCAGAGGTACGCACCCAGGCACGGAGCACATTGAGACTCCCCCGGGAAAAGGGACGAGGTATGGGGGGGGACACCGAGGGCATCCCTGCACCCGCGCGACGTCCCCCCCCGCTTTCTGCCCCCACCTCCAGCGGTCCCTCTGGGCAGCTCTGGAAGGACGTGCAAGGGAAAGCGCTAATGGAGAGCGAGCGCTGCACCTTGGCCGAGGTCTCTCCCACTTCTATTCCCACGGATGAGGATATAACATTTAATTTAGGTCGTTAGTATACATGCCCGTCCTTTCCCCTCTTCCCCCCCCCCCCCCCCCCCCCCCCCCCCCCCCCCCCCGAACGAGTCTGTAAAGGGCAACGATGGTTTAACTATAAAGCAATCTTCTTTTTATTCCAACATATCTAATAATTATATGTGACTGAGCAACTCAAAATAGCTGACGAGGTAATCCCTGCATGTTAAGGAGTCTTTGCAGAAATTGCTGGGGTTTATTTGAACCTCGGGTACTTCCCGCAGCTTTTGCGAGACAAGTAGGGTTCTGGATGGCAAGAGAATGGGAGGTTTACGGTGGGGATAGAGGGATGTATTTCTCAATTTATTTTTTAAATGAGGACTAGATATAATCCCCCCCTCCCCTCCAGTAAGAGAAGAAGACAGTCCGGCCATAGGAAGGCGGCTGCCCCCGGTGTTCATTCTCAGCCCCGGCGCGGTTGGTTCCCCCATCAGGGTACAGGCAGCCATGACCCGCCTGGACGCTATTGCCGGCTCCACTGGCGAGCAAAACCATACCCTGTGTCCCCCTCCGCCCTCTCTCCCCGCTGCACACCCCCGGCGCAGACGGACAGGTACACACTCGCACAACCGGAGTGGAACGGAAAACGGGGCACTCTCAGCTTCACCTGAAAATTTTTAGCTGATTTGTGTCCATTTTAATAACCTCTATCGACTCTCTTTCCTACAACGGTTGTCACGTTTGCAGAAAGAGACTGGAAAAGAGTATTTCGGGGAGGGAAAAAACATGCAGGAAAAAACTAACGGCGCTGTCTAGGAAAGGGGAGGTGATCTCAGTGAGTGGTACAGGGTGGAGGAGGTGCGGACCCTCCGCAGCGATCCCAAGCGGAGAGGGGGAGGCTGACAAAGCCCGGTTCCAGCCCGGGGAAAGCGAGGGAAGGCCGGGAGAGGGGGAGCGAGAGGGCGGAGGGGGGCTCTGAGCCTCCCTGTGAAATCCAAGTTTATTGTCAACAAAGGAGGGTCTGGCCAGGCTCGGAGCCTCCGCCGTCCCGAGCTGCCGGAGGCAGGGGACGGCGCGGGGGCTCGGGAAAGGGGTCCCTGCGCGGCCAGAGACTATCAGGACACGGCGGGGAGAGCAGGAGCGGGGTCCCGGGGCGTCCAAGGCGGACGCGGAGAGGGACGGGCGGAAGCGCGGGGAGCCCCTCGGCGTCGAACAGGTGCGGGAAGCAGCACGCAGGGGTGGCTCTTCCCTTCCAGGAGGCATCTTCCCCGGAGAAAGGGGCAGGGGAGAGTGGCCCATCAGGAGCGGGGAGGCAGAAATGCAAGCTTAGAGGAGAAAGTGCGTGTGAGAGAGGTAAAGGGGAAGAGAAAGAGGAGGAAGGCTCCGAGCTCCACCTCCCCGCTCGGCGCGGCGCTCCAGCTGCTCTCAAACCAACTGCTCAATTCTATTCACTGCCGCGACGGAACAAAAAAGTGGCTATTTATTAGAATACTTGTTTGGTATTGTTCGGTGCCACACAAAAGGCGTTTCATTATGTTGGGGTGGGGAGAAAAGCCCCTCTTTTTTTTTTTTTTCCTTTTCTTTTTTTTTTTTTCCTTTTCTCTCCAGACCGAAACAATAACTTGAAATTGTCTTTAAAGTCTTTTCTATCAATAATAAATTTCATTTTCTTCTCTCTCTCTCTCTCGCTCTCCCTCTCTCCCCCTCTCCAGTGCAGTGTGTGTGTGTTGCGCGTGTGTGTGTGAGGGAGAGAGAGAGAGCGCGAGTGAGCGAGAGAGCGCGAATGGTGAGTGTGCGTGTGTCGCCGGGCACTCGTGGCTTGGGCACAGCCGCCTGAGAGCTGCGGCTGGGCGAGGGGCGAGGAGGAGACCGCCGGCTCCGTGTCGCGCTGCCCTGCACCTGCGGGCACGGTCGGATGAAGGTGTGAGCTAAGCTAGAGCAGAGGGGTGGGGGGGGAAGTAATAATAATAAGGCTGCCCCTTCAGATGATATGTTGGGAGGAGGCTGGAGCTGGAAGAGCAACTGTAAGTGTGCCTCTAACTTTTGAGGGGGTCTTCACCCTGTATTGGGAATGGAGGAGGGAAAGCCGGCGAAGGGAGGGCTTCCAAGTTACTTTTGCTGCAAGAGGGAAGAGCCGATTGCAGTCACTGGGTTATCGGCTGTGACACGGATTTGGGGGGGGTGGGGGGGGGACACCGCGGGCGACAGTGTTTTGGGCTGCCCCCCTCCGCCTTCTAGGGAAGACGCCTCACTGGGTTTTGAGGCGGGGGAGGGAAGCGGCGACCGGGGCCGTGGCCGAGGGCTGCGGGCGGGCTGGGGTGGGGAGGGCGCCGGGGGCGGCAGCGCTGCCTCCCGAGAGCGCAGCGCCCGCTCTGGTTACACGTTCAAAAATTAACATGTCGGTGTGCGGGTGCCATTTAGTGAAAGGTGTCTTGGGCAAAGAATCAATTTCGCTGTGACTGACCGGCGGGCTTGGCTGTATTAATACTGCCAAAAAAACCCCGAAATCAATAGGCAGAGCAGCATTACAGCTATTACAACTAATGCCTGCTTAATCTCTGCCCCTCGGAACGAGCATTCATATGGGCTCCCAGCACTGCTAATGCGGCCAGGATGAGCCCGGCTCCATCTTCCCAGGGAACGGGGATCCCCAGATCCGGTCCTCTGTGAACGTGACAGCTGCCGCGACCTCTCGACAGGGAGGTTGTGCCCAGCCTCTCGAAGTCAAGTCCGGGCGAAAGAAACTCTAGGGGTTTAGGGCTACCTAGGTTGGTCCGACTCCGGGTCTTACCCTTTCTCCCCAACTCCAAAGTGTCTGTAGATCTTCTCACTATTGACATAAAGCATCGGGATATTAAAAAGGTGACTTTTTTTTTTTTTTCTCGTATTTGATGGTGGTATTTGGGGTCGATCAACAGGCAGTGGAGCAAGGTTGTACATCTATCGATCAGGGAGGGGACGGGTTTTGGCTGAATCTCTTTTCAGAAACAGGTGTTTAAACATGATAGCGGCTCCAGTCAATTAACCCATTAAAACCCCGTTTCATCGCATTGATTCCCGTGGGATGCCATAAAAGGTTATGGTTTGAAAGCCTCTTTGTTAAGGGGGGGGGAGGATGGATGGATGGATGGATGGATGGATGGATGGATGGATGGATGGATGGGGATAGGGAGGGTGGTTGCAAATTGTCCCCAAACATACAGTATCAAGCAGGGAGTAAGATGACGAACTACCGTTTCTTCCCACCAAGCCGGGCTGCACCAGCGTCTCAGCGCGCCCCGTCTCCGCCCGCCGCTCCTGGTCGCGACTCCGCGGAGGGGCAGAACAGCCGCTGCGGCCACGGGGGCTGCCGCCATCCCCTGCCCTCCGTGGGCCGCTCGGTTGCACAGCCCCTGTGGCTAAAATTGACACATCCACCTCGGGAAAGGGGTATCCCGTGGGGGCTGCACTTCCTGCCCGTGGAGGAGGGGTCCGGCCGGGGGCGGGGGCTGCCGCCCTACACCGGCTGCGGGCCGAGTTAGGCTGTGGGTGCAGATAAAGTGTTGCCTTAGATAGTTGCAAGCGCTGATATTCCTAAAACAGGACAATCTATGAACAACCTTCCCTCCCTTCCCTATCCCCCACCCCAGCACCTTTTTCAGGTTTGCTAATCTTTGCTGTAAATTATGTATTTGCTAAAGGTGTCAGTAGCCTTTTTGCTATCCCGTCTTACGGAATCCGTGTAACGGGAATGTGAAGTATCAGTCTTCTGATACTTTAGATTCAGGTTTTTCAGGATATCTGCTGAAAAACAGATCTGCAGCAAACACCCCCTTTCCAAAAGCAAATAAACACGGCTGCGGCCAAGTAATCGGGATCTCCCGTTGGTGGGAAGGATACTGGTTTTTTTTCGGCTGGTGTCTCAGGGGTTCATTATCGGCCTTCCCATGGCCAGCATGCTGCACTGGATGGAGCAAGAGGATCATGTATTTCCTCTGGGTACCTTTAATTTCCAGACCAGCGGTCTGAGATTATTTAGATGTTTCTAGTTTTCCCCTGGTTTGCTGTTTTCTGAAGTAATCACTGGATGAATGACCGAAAAGATTTGAAATCGTGTCAAAGTGATGTTTTAATCTCATGGAAAAGTGTATTAAACGAGAAGATGCAATTTGTGGGGGAAGTTTAAATGAAAGGAGAGATTGGAATGGATGATACTTTCGCTCTCCTGTGAACCTCGTGTCATGTTTACATTGAAGCCTATGTAGCTAATCTAATTTGCAGTAACAGGATGACCTGCAAGAAATAAGCTTTTACATTATTTCCTTTCCCCCCTCCTCGTTTATTTTTTATGCAAATTCATTCTGACTTGCTGCGAATGATGCCTTTGCAATTGGGGGATAACTGACGAGGATGCAAAACAGAAATATTACCTTTACGGTGTTCTGAGCAACGTACCACAGACATAACCAGCCAGGTTGCCCTAATGGAAATGGGATGCTGCATCTGGGCTTGTGAAGCTCTTTTTGCGCGACTGACAGTTCAGCAGCACGATTTTAAAGATTTTTCGTACTAACTTCCCGCGTCATGCTAGTCCGACAAACTCCCCATCCCCGTAGTTCTTCCTTTTTCTTTAAAAGTTCACAGTTGCAAAACTATACTTTTAAAATAATTTATTTTTGCTGGAAAGTAAAATGCTTGGTAGGTTTTCTTGGGGTTTGTTTTGGTTGGGGTTTTTGGGGGGGTTTGTTTTGTTTTGTTTAGTTTTTGTCAGGAGGGCCAATCGATAACTCGATTGTAAAAAGTAAAAGGTGTGGCCATCCACTTAGTTGGAAGCCCCAAACCCTGGGAAATAGGACAGTGCAAACCCTCGTCTCCTGCGAGATGCTGTGCCATCTGATCACCACATATTCCTGGCGTGTGCCTTAGTAATAATAATTTCAAAAAAAAAAAAAACTGAACAGACTTGAAAATTACAACTTTTGTGTAATGTAAAAAAGGTGTATTCAGCCTGTTAATTACAGGGAGTTGTGTCATTGGAATGTTATCAATGACCCATTTAATTTTACTGTAATTACTGACAAAATAAGACAAGGATAGATCACAATACAGGATATTCCTCTTTCGGAACAATATTGTGCTGGAAGTTGAGCTAATGCGTAGCATAAACAAACATTTTTAAAAATGCTCCTGCTGGCAAAATTTCGTAAAGTCACGATTCTGCTTTTTCTACCGACTCGGAACTCCCACTGGGCGAAGGATAGGGGCCGTTCCAAGGCGAGGGGGCAACGCACTATGTCCTATCGGGGAGAGGAGAGGGGAAGCAAATCTCTGCTTAGGCGCGGGCTGATCGTCCCGCCGTCCCACCGACGTGTGCCTCGGCGTTCCCTCTTCAGTGTAGGTCCCGGGAACTGAGCTGGGAGGTGACATTCCCGGCTCACCTGCCCGCCGCGACCTGCTGTTGCCCTGGTGCGGCCGCCGGCTACTGCGGAGATCAAACGTGTGGGGAGATCGATAATACTTTTAGGCATAGAGAAAATATAAAGCTCATTTTCAAAGCCAGTAGAAACTAGAAAACAGAAAAACCTGGATAGACAAACTCTTCGGAAAGGTACAATTTACCGTCACTGGGGAGGGAGTGGTGATGCAGAATTCCTTTAGAAAAACGGTTCCAGCCGCCCTTCTATCTGGCACAATAAATAAATGAATGGAAGTATCTACACGGAACAGTTTCCTGCCCTCCGGACGTTTTGATTTTGCCCGGAACAGGTTGGCCCTAAGTCCACCCCCCCGCTCCGCGTCGCGCCCCGTCCCCGATGCCCGCACCCAGCAGGGCGGATGGCTCTCGGCAGCCGAGCCTCGCCGGCCCCGGGCGCGGAGGGCAACTGCCTGCTCTCACAAGGACTTCAGAAACCTTTCGGCTCCGCCCCGTACCATCCTCAGTGTCCCCCACCATGCCTCCCAACTTCACCCCAGGGCATCCCCCAGGGCAGTTTCTGTGCTGGTGGCCCAGGTTGCCCCCTCCCCTCATGCTCCCAGCGTCGCGGTGAGCAACCCTTCGGCTGGGGTGCAGATACAGGGAAAGCGGCCTGGGGGCCAAGCCGACGTCCCTCAGAGCCGCCCCAGGGAGCCACAGCGTGGTCCCGCAGCGGAGCCGCCAGTCGGGTCGCGCTGGTGTCGCGACAGTCCGGGCTGTCTGGGACCGACGGCTGGGAGTGGGGCGCGCCGAGGCGGCGGCAGGACAGCCCTTACCCTCGTCACGCTTCCAGTTGGTTGGCACGGTTCTCCTGGACGAAGGGGGGAGACATTTATCGTCAGGGAATTTTAGCCCTTTCCTTCTCCTCCCTTTTCTTTTTCCCCCCCTTTCCCTCTCATTCATAAACCTGGTGGCTATAGACGCAGCTTGAATATTGACGTGTCTTCCCCCAACTGCTCCACCGTTAACCCAATTACAGAATTCATCAAGAACTGTGTTGAATTATCTCTTTCCATACAGTATCAGCATTAGCCTAATTAAAAGCTATAATGTCTGATATAATGATTAAATCGTTAGCTCTGCTGTAGGGAAGCAATATTTTGTTTTCCCTTCAATTAGAAGCTGATTGAGGTTTTCAGAGCAGGTCAGCTGTGAAATTTGAATTATATGTGTGAGTACCGTTCACAGGGTGAGCCCCTACTCGAAAGCTCCAGAGATTCTCCATACGCTTTTACCCAGCAAGCTGGGAAAAGACAACAAAACACAGAGAGAGCCCGTAGTTTATTTGGGACTGGGGTTGTAGGATCGCACGGAACAGTTATTAACACTGGAAAAGAAAGCGAGACTTTTTTCAGGTGCCCTTTTTCCTCCATCCCACCTCGACTGTGGAGCAGGTCGTGTTGAAAGCCGTGATCCACAAGTCTCCTCCGAGGCAGGAAAGGGCTTCCTCTCTCTCCCCCTTGCCTATCCTTTCTGCTCCCTCATGGCTGCTCGCCTTGGCCCAGGTAACGTCACCCCGGGAGCGAGGGAGCGCTTTGCATTTCGCGCTGGCCAGCGGCTTTTGCAGTGAAGTGCCAGAGGAGCTGCAAGTGATCCCCCCACCTCCCCACCCTGAGTTTCAGACAGCGCTGGCGCGGGATCAGCCAGCATCACTCTTATTCTCCCCATGGCATCGCCCCGGCGCGGACTGGCGCTCGCCGGCCCCGACCTGGGGCGAGGGTGCGGGAGGCACGGCGGCAGCCAGCAGACGGCGATCGCCGCCTGCTCCGAGGCGCCCGGCTCGGCCCCGCCGCCCCTTTCCCCCTCCTCGCCCGCGGCGGCACAGAGGGCACAGCGCCGGTCGGGCCCACGGCGAGCGACCCCCGCCCCGAGGGGGCGGCCCTCCCGCCCCAGCCGGGAGCGGGGGGCGGTGCGTTCCGCCGCGCAGCGCGGAGGTGGCGGGGGCCGGGTGAGGCACTTGTCGGTGAGCCCGGCCTGCGAGCAGGCCACGCCGACACCTGCCCACTCCGCGGGCCCGGGCGGCGGCCAGGGCTGCGAACTGACTTTTAGTTCTTCCCAGTCCTGTTTCTAGTGCGGGATCTCCTCCTCGCTTTCCCTTTGGCTTCCCTGCAGCGTTCACCCAGCACACACCGCTCCCCCGGGCCGCCTCCACCTATTCCTTTCACCACTCTACTCCCGATTCTTGGCAACCCACTTTTCTCTGGGAAAAGCTCAAGTACATCCCAACTCCGGGCACAGTCCCCAGCTGCACTACCCTAGCCCAGTAGACCTCTCTTGGTTTTTCTTCCCTGTCAAATGACACTCGCAAAAGCGCTTGACCTTGTTCCTTGTCCCACGAACCGGGATCTGCACTACCTTTACCACAGAAGAAAAGCCCCTGTCTGCCCCTCCCAAGCTGGTTTTTACGTCCCCTCTCCCACCCCCCTCTACCCACTGTTCAGTCGATATACGTCCTCTGGCCGCCGGAGAACTGGGTGCCCCTGAGCCAGAAGCAAAAGGGCTCACAGCAGCAGCATATCCTTGCTCCCCACTCCCTGTCTGCATTTCACACCCAGAAAGACCGTGTTCATGGTAGTTTGGCTGCTTTTAGGGGAGGGAAGGGGCGCTCTGTGTTTATTTGCCGGAGGTGGAAGGACAGAGAGGGAAACCCCACACAGACAAAAATCCCGGGAGGCAGTCCCGGGGACTTCCAAAAGACCGACTGCCCCCTCAGCAAGGTCAGCCTCCTCTGCCATTTACCTGCATGTGACAGAGAGGAAAGCTGGTGTGTATCACCAGTTCGCAGGAATAAGCATATGTTCCCATGGGGGTCTTCTGGCTGGCAGGATGCAAGGAACTTGTCTGGAAAAGGTTGATCTACAGAGATTTGACCCATTTACTTATCAGGAGGCCTTTAGGTACCTTAATATCAAATTTCAGGGAGAAATACCACTAAGGCCTTGGGTGGATGGATAATGTGTGAGCCATGTCATTTATCTGGCAGTTTTTACTCCTAATATCTTCATTTGGCCATCCAAGTGGAAATGTGCCTTTCTGCAGTAATGTTCTCTCCCTTCCCCCTCCCCTCCTACCTCGACCAACTATATTTTAAATACATAATTTAGCAATCACAGCAGCCTCGCTTGCTTTGGCATGGCAGATGTGGCAACTTGAGGAAATATCAGCTGGAGAAATGTGTCCAATCCCACACTGCCTCCTGTCCCCCCTTTGCACCCCTAAGGCTGACTGGAAGGGAGCAGGATCCTCCCAAAAGCATCCCCACCTGAGCTAACAGCATCACTCAGGCTGAGCTAAAGAGGCCAGAAGCAGGCCAAGCCTTCAGCCATCAGTGACTGAGAGGTGCTTTTCTCTTCCCAGCAAACCCAGACGGTCGTGATGAGATCACTATTTCATGACAAGTCATTGGAAATGGGGAAAAAAAAGTCTAATCATAGCCTAGCGCCTAAGGATGGTGCTTTATGCATGATGCGTACTCCTACTGCAGAAAACTTCTGGTGGTAATAACAGTAACTGGGAAAGCTGCAGCATGATTCCAGCCTTCAATGGCCACTAGGGTCAGGAAAATTTACACTCACAAACCGTGAAAAGAGCAGGGATGCATGCATCCCTTTCTCCACCTGGCGAAAGATGATGGGGGCAGCAGTTTCTATCTCATGGGCACTTGTGCAACAGACTTGCCATTCCTATGGCTGCAATTAAAGATTGCAGCATGAATTTCCCCGTGAACCATTTTCTCCCCTCTATAAAATAACTATAATCTCACAGGACAGGCAAGGCACAAGGATAGTCTTTTAATATTTTCAAGGAGGGAAAAAAGTCATACACCTTTACTTACTATACATAAATATAACATGTTTTCATGTACCTCCTTTAGTCACAGGTGCTTTTAAATCCCCTAGGCCAAGTGTATAATGACTGTGTCCAGCCTCTGCCTCGTGCCTGGGCCTAGGCCTGGGAGCAGTTTTAACACCTGGGAGAGACGTCTGAGGGGGCTCCAGAGAAATCTCCAGAAAGGACGAAGTCCCAGGGAAAAGGCGGGCTTAGGTGCCGTTCGCACCGGTGCGGTGACTTGGCAGACAGCCTGGGGCGCCTCAGACCCCCTAAATACCACTCGACGGCCGCCTAAGCGCGGGGCTGGGCCTGCCTGTGGGGCTGCCCGTGGGGCGGGCGGGATGGCCGGGATGGCCGGGATGGCCGGGATGGGGGTGTGTTGCGTCCCCGCCCCGGGGGTGCCCCCTCCGCCCTCGTGCCCCCCCGCGCGCGGCACGACCCATCGCACGTCACCGCCCGGCGCGCGCCATATGCAAATCGCGGCCCGGCAGCGCACCCCGATTGGCCGCCGGCAGGCGATTTAAGGCGGGCTCTGCGCGCGCCGTATGGCTGCGGCGCTGCTCGCCCGCGCGCCCGGCGGCTCCTCCTCCTCCTTTCCCGGCCCCGTCCCGGCCCGTCCCGCCCGGGCCGCGGGAGGGAGACCACCGCCAGCAAATTACTGTGCCGCCGCGCCCCGGCCGCCGGGCTCTGCGCGTGTTTTGGTTGGGCTCCTTCCCCCCCCCCCCCCCCCCCCCCCCCCCCCCCCCCCCTTTTTTTTTTTTTTTTTTTTTTTTTTTTTCAGTTAACGTTTAAATACTTTTTTTTTTTCACCTCCTTTTCGCGTGGTGGTGGGTTCTTCTCTCTTCTGCTCCGTTCACCTGCGATCAGCGGATGCAAGTCACACACGCTCTCTCCCCTCCCTCCCTCTCTCTCTCCAAGTTAGCAGCAAAGAACAAAAAAAAATAGCTCCGTTAAGGATAAGAGCGGGAGCGGAGGGGTGTGCGCGCGTCTGCCGGGGAGCGCCGGCGAGCGGAGGACACCGCCGACGGCTCCGCACACTCCTCCCGCCGCGCCAAGTGAAGCAGCAAGTTTGCCGTGCACCTGTTTGAGCAGCTCGAACCCCCGTCGCCGCCGAGCCCCGAAAGTGATTTGCAAAAGGGAGAAAGTTTTTCGCCAGCAGGGTCGGCGATCGCCCTCCTCGCGGTTTTCTTCTCCTCTTTTTTTTTTTTTTTTTTTCCCCTTTCTTTTTTTTTTTTTTTCCACGGCCGTCGCTACCTAGATACGAACGGGTTTCGCCTCGCTCGCTCCCCGTCCGCCCGGGCTCCTCTATGTTTGATTCATTTTTCACATCTGGCGCCGGTGGAAAATAAAAAAGCTACTTGAATGTACAGCATGATGATGGAGACGGACTTGCACTCCCCCGGCGGAGCCCAGGCCCCCACGAACCTCTCGGGGCAGACCGGAGCGGGAGGCGGTGGAGGAGGCGGCGGCGGCGGCGGCGGGGGGAACAAAGCGAACCAGGACCGGGTCAAGAGACCCATGAACGCCTTCATGGTGTGGTCGCGGGGCCAGCGGCGGAAGATGGCCCAGGAGAACCCCAAAATGCACAACTCGGAGATCAGCAAGCGCCTGGGGGCCGAGTGGAAAGTCATGTCGGAGGCCGAGAAGAGACCGTTCATCGACGAGGCGAAGCGGCTGCGGGCGCTGCACATGAAGGAGCACCCGGATTATAAATACCGGCCCCGGCGGAAGACCAAGACCCTGCTCAAGAAGGACAAGTACTCTCTGGCCGGGGGACTGCTGAGCGCCGGCTCGGCCGGGGGAGGCCCGGCCGGTGTCGGCGTGGGCATGGGCGTCGGCGTCAGCCCGGGCGGCGTCGGGCAGCGGCTGGAGAGCCCCGGCGGCACGGCCAGCGGCGGCTACGCGCACATGAACGGCTGGGCCAACGGCGCCTACCCGGGCTCGGTGGCGGCGGCGGCGGCGGCGGCGGCGATGATGCAGGAGGCGCAGCTCGCCTACAGCCAGCACCCGGGCAGCGGGGGGCACCCGCACCACCCGCACCCCCATCACCCGCACCACCCTCACAACCCGCAGCCCATGCACCGCTACGACATGGGCGCCCTGCAGTACAGCCCCATCTCCAACTCGCAGGGCTACATGAGCGCCTCGCCCTCGGGCTACGGCGCCCTGCCCTACGGCTCCCAGCCCCACCAGAACTCGGCGGCGGCAGCGGCGGCAGCGGCAGCGGCGGCGGCCGCCTCCTCGGGGGCGCTGGGCGCCCTGGGCTCGCTGGTGAAGTCGGAACCCAGCGTGAGCCCTCCCGTCACTTCGCACTCGCGGGCCCCGTGCCCCGGGGACCTGCGGGAGATGATCAGCATGTACTTACCGGCCGGGGAAGGCGGTGATCCGGCAGCAGCAGCCGCCCAGAGCCGGCTCCACTCCCTGCCCCAGCACTACCAGAGCGCCAGCACGGGGGTGAACGGCACCGTCCCCTTGACGCATATCTGAACCCCCGCCGGCACCGGAGCGGCGGAGACAGGCTCGAGTGGGAGCACCGGCTCGGCCCCTGGCCCGGGCCTCGGCCCCGGCCCCGGCCCCGGGCCGTCCCGCTGGACTGCGCGCCCCGCCGCTGCCACCGCACGCTCAGCCCCGGCCGCCCGCCCGCGTCCCGGCCCCGCGCCGCTCCTGCCCCGCTCCCAGGTTCCCCCCTCTTATTTTTGCCTCTCGCGCCCCTTCCCTCCCGCCCTCCCCCCCCCTTCTTTTTTTCTTTCTTCCTTCCTTCCTTTTTGTACAGAAATGTTTTGATGTTCTTGTAATAATAATAATAAATAATAATAATAATAACGAGAGAGAAAAAAGGTAACGGTTGCTTTACTTACCTTTTTTGTTTTTAGAAGGACTAGTTTATGAAACTAGTTTTAGACTGAACTTCTGTGTTTTATCGAGAGTTTTTGTACAGTATTTATCATTCACCCAAGGGGCATAGTGCGTTTATTTGCAAAAGAAGAGAAAATAAGAGAGAAAAACAGGAGAAAGGTGGGGAGAATGGTGGCGAAAAGACAAAAAAATATCAATAATAACAACAAAAAGTTGTTGGCGATGCCAACTTTTATACCGCGCGGAACTGCTACGATTTCCGTCACGGATCGCTTCTTGCGAAGGCTTTTTATTGACTAATTAACTCGAAGTTGATGAGGAAACAGTTCTCATTTATTACTCATGTACTAAAGCAAATCCAAAAGAACATTTTTTAGTAGATATTCTCACGGTTTTGTTGGGTTGGGTGTTTTTTTTTTTTGTTACTTGTTTGTTTATTTATAAAACTTTTTTTTTCTTTTGAAAGCTACGTTTTTTCCTGGGGTTTGTAAAATTTTATTGTATCTGGATATTTTTGTTTGTTTGTTTACTCTTCGGTTTTGTTTTCTTTTTGTATCATTTCTTGTAAATGCATTGTGAAATAATTTTTATTTAGGCATTACGAAGGAGTTAAGATTTTGTACATAGTTTACTAAAGAGCTTTTCTGCTAAACAGAAATCCGAAGGATGCGTCCTTTTATTTTTTTTTTTCTTTTACTTCTTGAGTTAAATAAATTTCAAAGCGGAAAATGTCACCTGGTTTTTAAAAAACAAACAAACAAAAATTACCTGGAGAACTTATTAGTGTTTACCATGTTAAGTCTAGAAATACAGCGGATAAAACTAAATTTTGGGAGGAAGTTTTAAACAGCAGCGGCAAACAATGAAATGCAATCTGAAGTAAATGTCGATGTTCCCTAACCTGTGTAAATCAGGAGGGATGAAGGTAGATTTATTTTAATAGACCTCTTACTGCGTTACTCCTCTAGCCGTGAACATTTATTTTATGGAATTTATGGCTGGGCTGGTGGTCTAGACCTTGCCGGGGCAGTAACTTTCTCCCTGGGGGGGTGATCGGGTGCTGCCCGCCCCTGCTCGCCTCAGGCCCTGCTCGGCCTGGAGTTCCTGCCGGCCCAGGGGGGCACCCACCTCCCCGGGAATCGAGAAGGTACCGGCCAGCGCGGCACTTCCCCTTTAATTAACACCATGAAAAGAGAAAGAGCTTAGTTTTGCGCGTCCCGAAAAGAAAAGCGACCTCTAAACCTCAAGCCCGAAAAGCAGCTCTGTCCCTCCGGAGCATCCCAGGGGGCGAGCGGGGAACGGTGGGGTCACACGTTTCTGCCCCCACCGACTCCCCCCCCCCATCAATTTTCAGTGATTGGTGCTAAAGCTGTCGAGCAAAACGATGCGCGTCAGTTCGTTGCAGAATGTTGTTCAATGCTTTGAAATTTAATTATTTTTTTTAACGGTTGATCGATACTTTTCGATATGTTAGAATTAAAAGTTTGCTGTAAACTACTGTAGCAAATGAATTTTTACAATAGTTATAACTACTTAAACAAAAGGGGAAAAAAATTAACTTCCATGACTGTAATGTCGGTGGCAGCAGGCTGTAGGACTTTTTAAATTATCTTTTAGCGCTGGCGAATAAGTACTTCGTCCATAGTGAGTGGGGAAGTTTTAGTTGATTAATGAGGAGCGGTTTCAGGTCCCTGTTAGAGATTACACTCCTGTAATGCTGACATGTCAATTGACATACATAACTCTTCGGAGTCATGTTGACAATTTTGTATAAATCACTCATACTTTAAACTGAACACAGAATTTTCATGAAAGTTGTCTATTGATTTCAACCAAAAATAAGGCCCACACTTCCCCCCCCCCCCCCCCAACTATTTGAGCCTTTATTACAGCGATGTGTGTGCGGGTTTGGTCAACTGGCGACTTTTGGAAATGCTCAACCTCCAAACAGAGCACACAGAAAGCAGGACACTGTGAGAAACCTTCCATGGTGTCGGTTACCTCCAGCCAAACATAGTCCTAGATGTAATTTAAAATATTAATACCTGTACCTTTAGATATGCAGATTAAGCTGGTTACCTGTTGAACAGTTTCTTGAAATATGTTATCCTTCATGTGGATACTATGTACTAGTAAATATCTATACACACTGTAGATAGCATCACGACCGAAGAGGAGTGTGTGTGTGTGTGTGTGTGTGTGTGTGTACATATGCACATGCAGACACATATACATCTGATGCAACCCTGTTACATGTCTTTACTTTAAGGGTCATAGCTACTGAAAATCATATTTACTGACTACGCAGAATAGAAAAATCCTAGTGAGATGATCCTGCATCGCTGAACATCTCTGATGGAATAGGAGGATTGGGACGGTCAAGTGAGAAAAGCAAATAAACACCTGTTTATTTGCATCTAAGCAACAGAAATACTATGGGGAAATGCTTAAAAAAAGAAATATTACGACTCTCTCCTTTTAACGAGTTTCCCCTCCTACCCTCAGAATTTTGCGGCTCAATGGTGTTATGCCTTGAATAATGGGAATACCTGCACTTTCAACACAAGAGTATTAAACAGACCCAGTTTCGGTTATATATTTAAACAAGTTTCGAATATTCTTTCAAAGAAATACATTTCACTCTGCGAAAGACCACCCTCAAAAAAAAAAAAACAAACAAACAAAAAAAAAAACCATAACCAAATAAACAAACAAAAAAAAGCCCACCAAAAAAAAACCAACCAAAAAACCACCACCAAATAAACAACAAAAACCCCCTCGACAAAACACCAAAAACATCCACTCACCCCACCCCCCTCCCCGAAACATCATCAGGGTAGAATTTTTTGCTGCTTTTTTTGCTGCTTGTGTTTTACTGGTTGGTTTGGCAGTTCACTTTACTTGAGTTAAACTTCACGTTTGGATATACAAACGAAACAACTCTCCTAGGCAGATGAGTTGGGTTTAGGTACAGTAAAATAATTAGGCCTTCGGGCTCTTTGCTGTACGAGTTATATATAAGAGAATAATTGAATATGCAAAACTAAGAATAGGTTTAAGCGATTTATGGTTTAAGTACATTACATCTAAAATTGTATGAAATGTTCCTCCTTTAACATGATTGACAGAGCTATTAAAATCACGTATGTGGAAGAATTAAACCAAAAAGTCATCTCGTTCAGTAAAAGGAAGGACAATCCAAGGAGTAAAGCGAAGGGGAGTGGGGTGGAGGTGCCCTCCCTGCGGAGTTAGGCTGCGTGTAGCGTGGGGAGCTTGGGGTCAAGCCCCTCCGTGGGCCAGATCCCGCCCCGCGGTCAGCGCTCTGACGGAGGGTCCCTCTGCCCCGGGAGCGGGGCGGCGGCAGAGCAGCCAGAAGGATAGGAGGCACAGAGCGATAACAGATTTGATCCGCTCCAAACTTCGAGCCAAAACGCAAACTTGGCCTGAACTCCATAGCTCTTTCCCAACGGTTCTCCCTCCTCCTTTTTTTTTTTTTTTTTTTTTTTTTTTCCCTCCCCCCCACCGTATGCGGCTCACTGAGCTTCTAGGAGTGGAGCTGGGCTCCGGCGAAAAGCCGTTCTCTCTAGTTCCACTCCTCCGTACCCTCAGCCGGAGTCACACCACAACGAGCGCCGGGCGGGGCATCGATGGGACGACTCCGAGCCTCTGGGAGCAACGGAGTGGGGGAAGAGGGCACATTAAATCGTCCATGAAGATAAAAAGAGGGACGATTCCAGAAATCAGAGCCAACGAGTCCGGAGTGCCACAGCGGGGCAAGAAGCCCCGCGAAATGCTCCTTCAGGGGACGGAGGGATGGAGAGGACCCTCCCTCCCAGCTGCGCCACATGCAGGCGACATCAGGCCAGGTCACCTGAACGTCTGACGAGGTTATAGCATTTTATTATCATGCGTAAAGTGCCATGGAAGGAAAAAAAAAAAAAAAAAAAAAAAAAAAAAAAAAAAAAAAAAAAAAAAAAAAAAAAAAAAAAAAAAAAAAAAAAAAAAAAAAAAAAAAAAAAAAAAAAAAAAAAAAAAAAAGCCCAAACCAAAACAAAACAACATTGAAGAAAAAGGCACCACAACATCACACATACACACTCCCCCGCTGAAAACTAAACCAAACGGCTGATCTGGGAGTTACTGTAGAGTAAAATGGAACTAAATGTCGCGAACTTGGCAGGTGCTTGTGGGTTATCTGGATGGGATACTCTCCTGGGTCTGGCGCCGACGCTCTCTCATGCCCCGCGATACCCCCGCCTTTCCCAGGCACTTTCCGACCCTCCCCTGCCCTTTTCTGCCCCGCCTTCCCCCCTTCGCGCACACTTTCTGATAGCTCCCCCCGATAAGCTCCAGCTCTCCCCTCCTTCCTACATTCAACAACACGTGGGGAGCGCCGGGAAGGGGCAGTCCCGTGGGGGCGGACAGCGTCAGCGTGTCCGTGTGTCTGTGTGTCCGTGTGAGTGATCTCGCTAAGCAAGTACCCCAGAGTCGTGGAGCAGTGGGCCTGGGGGATGTTGTTCGTGGGGTGCGAGTGGGTCTCTGCGAGCTGCAGCCCCAGGAACTGAAGTGCCCCCGATGCCGTCGGAGGAGTTGCAGATGAATGATGCAAGAGGGAAACAGGGGTGGAAGGAAGGCGAGAGTGGTGAGCGAAAGGGAGGGAGAACGCGGGGACAAGGAAGGGGGGTGGTGTTTGGAGAGCGAGGGATTAGCGAGGAGAGTCCTGACCCCGAGATCAACGGCCAGTCAAACCCGTTTACAATCACTCGGCAGAACACCGACGGCTCCCGCTGCAAGCCCGCGGCCGGCCGGGCAGCCAGTGAGACCAAACCCCGCCGTGGAGGGGGGTGTCTGGTGGGGGAGGCCAAGGGCCTGCTGCGGGGAGAAGGGAGATGCCACAGCCGGGAGG